CAGTGGTGCCAACCACTCCAAGACTGAGGCTGAGCACTTCTACAGTGTGGGCGAACACTGTAGAAGTTATGATGAGCTATCCAGAAGTAGTGCTGAGCACTGCAACCAGGGTGCTGAGCACTCAAGGTGCTATGTCGAGCACTCCAGCGGAACAGGGAACTCCATCGACGTCGATCGAGTTTGCCTCACCTCCAAGTGACATCACTGAGTTCATGGACGCCTACCACGAAGGTAAGGAGGTGCGGTTCCGCAGGCTGGATGACATCATCGGTGGCACAGGGCCCTCAGGCCTGGCTAGTCGGCTGCTCAATGACGCAGAGCTGCTACTCGTCAGTGCTGAGGAACCACCCACGTTCGCACTGGCCGAGCGCGATAGAAACTGGAGACGGGCGATGCTGGAGGAGATGAAGACGATCAAGGAAAATAAGACTTGGCAGCTCGTCGATCCACCTCCAGGATACCGTCCGATCAGCCTGAAGTGGGTGTACAAGGTCAAACGGGATGAGCTCGGCGCCATTGTCAAGCACAAGGCACGCTTCGTCGCCCGAGGCTTTATTCAGCGTGAGGGCATAGACTTCGAGGAGGTCTTTGCGCCAGTAGCGCGTATGGAGTCGGTCCGTTTGCTACTAGCCTTGGCAGCAGCAAAGGACTGGTGCATCCATCACTTGGACGTTAAATCGGCCTTCCTTAACGGTGAACTGGCGGAGACGGTCTTCGTTAGGCAACCTCCAGGTTTCACCGTCAAGGGAGAGGAGCACAGGGTGCTCTGACTACGCAAAGCGCTCTATGGGCTACGGCAGGCCCCACGAGCATGAAACGCCAAGCTTGACGCCACGCTGGGCGAGCTTGGGTTTTAGAGGTGAGCAACCGAGCACGCGCTCTACGCGCGGCAACGGGGGAAGGAGGACCTCATCGTCGGCGTGTATGTGGATGACTTAATCGTCACCGGCGCGCGCACGGAGGACATCAATGGCTTCAAACGCGAGATGGCGGCTCGTTTTCGAATGAGCGATCTTGACGCACTCTCCTACTACCTCGGCATCAAGGTGAGATAGGGGAAGGAGGAACTCACGCTCGGTCAGAGCGCGTATGCCTCCAAGCTGTTGAAGAGGAGCGGCGTGGCTGAGTGCAAGCCATGTGTGACTCCGATGGAGGAGCGGCTGAAGCTGATGAAGGCCAGCACCGCGGTGAAGGTGGATGCAACACTCTACCGGAGCATCGTCGTCGGTCTACGCAACCTAGTACATATGAGGCCGGACATTACGTTCGCCATGGGCTACGTCAGTCGCTTCATGGAGGATTCTAGAGAGGATCACTGGGCTGCGGTGAAGCGGCTACTACGCTACGTCAAGGGAACGGTGGATCATGGGATCATCTTCCCAAACACCGACGGGAGTAGGCTGCAGCTCACTGTGTTCAGCGATGCAGACATGGTGGGGGACATCGGCGGACAACGGAGCACCTCTGGCGTGCTCGTCTTCCTCGGGTCGGCTCCAATTTCATGGCTGTCACTAAAACAGAAGGTGGTGGGGCTATCTACGTGTGAGGCAGAGTACGTAGCGGCGGCCACAGCGGCGTGCCAAGTTGTGTGGGCTGCGCCGACTGCTGGGCGAGCTGACCGGGGTGGAAGCTCACCCACCAGCATTGATGGTGGACAACCAGCCCGCCATCGCCCTCGTGAAGAATCCTGTTCTGCACGACCGGAGTAAATACATCGACGTGAAGTTCCACTTCCTTAGGAATTGTGTCGATGGATGGTAGATCTTCATCGAGTTCGTCGAAACTGGTCGGCAACTCGCGGATGTCCTCACCAAGCCGCTCGGACGTCTTCGACTCACGGAGTTGAAGGAGATGATCGGCATGGAGGGGGTACAAGGGATAGCAGTAGGTTTAGGGAAAGAATTGTTAGAATAAACTACTGCTTTCCTTGTGTGAACACAGTAAGGGAAGGTGGCGCCGAAAAGGCCCCTGCTGTGATTCTGTAGCCACTGCAGGTGCAGGCGCCGCACGGCTCACCTGCTGCACTGTAGCCACATGTAGAGGCCGACGCAGAGTTAGCTCTGTATGTTATCTAGTCACTGTTGCGGCAGGGCAGCTGTACTGGAACTAGATAGATAGAGTTGTATAAATAGACTACCACGGCAACTCAGTAACGAGAGTTCAGATTTGCCATCTCCCAGACAGGGCTTCGGCCAACGCTGGTGTCTTGTACTGTGTGTATGCTCTGTTCTCCCTTGTTTTTCAAGCTCTAGCCATAGTGCGTGGGGACGGACAACGCTTGTTCGTGGTCGACACGGCTAGTGGGTGCTCGACAACACTAGCGGTTGCTCGGCAAAACTGCTGCCTGAGCCGGTGATCCTGTGGGCCAACAATTTTCAACCTGCGCTCAAACTACCATTCCTACTGATGGATAATGTTCGCTCCCATAGAAAGCCAGATTCTGGTTGTATGATGGTTAAGATGCATACATATATAGTTTTTGAATCACTCCTAGAGAGAGTGAGTGTGAACGTAATTCACTCATTGTCACAAGACGTAAGGTGGGGATCATGGCTTTGTGCAAAAAGACGCTGTGCTCCATGCTACATGGACCCCCGTGTGCGTGGGAGGGGGTGGGATCATGTGAGACGTATATATGTATAATATAACCATGCAGCCTACGCTTGGCAATTGGAGACTAAAACATTACAGTACAAACATATGGAGGCCATTACAGAAAAACCAAATGGCATAATCATGCTACAATGTCAAACAGTGAAGTGTTTAGTTTTGAAGGTGTCACAGTCCAACATCATTTTAAGAACAAAACCAGAAGATGCACTATTAAAAAACCATGACCTGTGGGGTAAGAATATTCTGCTAACAAGACCTCACGTAGGTCGAGAAAATCTCGAACCTCTGTCCCACCCATACACAGCAGCACTGTAGCCCATGTAAGAACGACCACGACCTGGGCCGTACCTTAGATTTGTGATTTGGCGTGGGACAGACGAGGGGATTTTCTTAACACGAGCCTGTAATTTGCTCCCAGGGAGTCGAACCTATAGGACCTGAGAAGTGCTAGTAGAGCCACCTAACCAACCAACTAGAGGCCCGTTCGCAAAAGAAGATGTACTATTAGCTAGATCAAATCGTTCTAAAGATTCAAAAGACAAATAACATCTAAGCCAAATAATTACGAATGGAGAACATCAGGTGCAGGCTGAACCGCTTAAGTAAGATAATCAAATTTTAAGGTAATCGCTTCTAACAAAAGCAGAAATTGCTTGCATAGTCAGTGCATAGTGAATTAATCTTGTTGGTGGCGCTCGGTTTGATGAAAGTAATAGGAAGATCCAAATTATTGCTTCCTTTTCCACTCTTGCACCTTTCTCTTAATTAGGAAAAAAAATAGGACATGATATTTGAGAAGAGTATCTCTGGAGTCTTCCATTGTCAAAAAGGAGTTACAAAATATGATCAATACAAAACATCAAGTTTTACACATAAGTGAGAGAAATCCCACGGGAACACTGGCATGAATAGTTTCTTTAAAAGATCTATCACAGGTCAAAATGCAAAACAGTGAAACACAACCAAAAAAAGCTAGAATTTGAAAACGTTTTTTAACGAAAAAAACTAGAATTAAAATTGCTATTTTCAGAGATATGATCTAATTTAGGGTTTTATAGCGGATAAAAAAGTTTTACTTGGATAATATCATAAGATGAGGATGTGATCACCAAAACATGCCCTAAGTGGCTCCAGCACACGCCTGCAAGAACAGGATGCTATTAAAGAAACAACAAAAAGATCGAAGAAAACAGAGAATACACTAACTGTGAGCTAGTGGATAAGGTAACCTAGGGGTAGGATGGAGGGTTGAGCCACAGCCACTTATTTGGGAACTAAATGCCATGCCACAAGATTTCGAGATTATGTTTGGCATGAATGACAGCTCAGGTGATGTTAGAAACTAATATTAGTATGTAAAACATCGATTGCCAAGCACAAATCTATCAGTCGTCATAATTTTTTTTTTGAAAGGGGCACCCTGCCCAATCAATTAAGAGAGAAAGGTGAGGCTGAGGCACCTGCATCAGACACCACTCGTACGCAGGTTGGCTGCCCGAGCACCCTGCGAACTTGACAACTAAAGATGGCAACCGGCCCCGATACCCGATACCCGACGGGTATTTGATCCATTATGGGACGGGGATGGGATCATATCTTTACCCACGGGCATCTAAATGGGCAAGAATCCATCCCCGACGGGTATAGCGGGTACGAGAACGTTCCCTGTTTACCCGTCCCCGTTACCCATTGGGGAACCCGACTATTTGAGCTGTCATGCGAGTATTAGGCCCAAAGAACCTTAACATAGGTATTTTGATCCAAATCTGAACAATCATATATATAGTTTGTGTGTTCTAGAAATCCTAGTTCAATTTTTTCTCACCATCTCCGCCAGCAACACAAGCACACCTGCCTCACGAGCGCTCGTGCCCCTCGCTTCCTCAGTTCGGTCTCTCTGCCACCTTTGCTCGTCCTCCTCGCAACCTCGCTCCTTCTCCTCGGCATCTCCGAGACTCCGACACTTATACCCGGGTGAAGAAGAAATGTCTCCGATTGCAAAGCTGCGACCCCAAGTGTCCTTGTTTATCGGGTATGCAGTACCCGTCGGGTATCTGTTACCCGACCGATGCCCGACGGGTACGGGGATGGGCAAGAATCTATACCCGAGACAGTTAACGGGGACGGGGACGAGATGAATTCTCCGTAGCGGGGAAGAGAACGTTCCAGCGATACCCGACGGGTACATCCCCGTTGCCATCTTTATTGACAACTGAGCCTCCAGTCCTCATCAGTCTGTATTGATTCTCTCTGCATCCAGCCTCTCAGTTACCATGATGCACAAGAAATCAAAATGGGTGTGGGAGTGAAAATTTTACCATTATTTATTTCTCTGTAAGTTTTTCGAGCTACAGTTGCAATGGCTTTGTATTAATAAAAGCAATATTTTACACCTTCATCAAAAGTCTAATCTGTGAATTCAAAAAAATCAGGAACAAGAAACATGAAAATATGCTATTGGTCTGTAGTAACTAGGTGATGCTGAGGCAGCGCTCTGGCATCAGGCCGGGGCAAAAGCCCTTGGGCTGCTGTTAGCTTACACTTAACTTCAGTCCCAGCGTATCTGTATGGATCTTGGATCCAGGCCTGCGTTGTAGTTGCCATTTTATAGCCAAACTACTATTTTCTATCTGAATACAAAGATACGCTGCCCTCTTGCATATTAAAAAAAAAACTAAGTGATGCTAATCATACTTGTCTGGAAAGCATTCTTCAAGTGCCACATGTTTCTTTAGCATCAGGCTATAAGCACATTTTTCATTTATATGGGAAAGAAGAACCAGCTTGATACTAGGATACAACACATATACCTCTTTCCTGTCAAACAAATTTTGCAGACCATTCAAAGATTTGAAATAAAAAAAAATTAGTACAAGCAGAACCAAGATTTGAATTTGTCAAATACTCAAATACTTCTGAAACATTTTGAGGCCCTCATATGCTAGAGCCAAGTTTGTCTGTATGTGTGTCGGATGGTAAACCGAGAAGGGGGCAGTTTGCTGAGAAGAAGCATGACGCTGACAAGTCCGGCTAGTGGATAGGATGAGGAGAATCGTCAGAATTCTAGTTTCCTAGAATATTAATATAATTCTAGTTTCCTAGAATGTAAATATAATAATAGGAATTCAATCTATGAATAATTCTATTTTCCGATTGGCCAGTACGATAATATATACACTTTTCCATTTTGGTTGTATCTTTCGTATTTTTGTTAAAAAGGGGATCTGCGCACTACCCTCTCCCCCCCAAATCCCCAACCCAAACAATCACACACAATGATTTCAGCGTAGGTAACAAATTTATGCATTCTGCTTTTGTCTGGTGAGTTACTTGAAGCTAAGACAATACACAATGGAAAAAAAGCATACTTTCTATCATGAGATGAGATGAAATGTTTGGTGCTTACCGCGCGCCACTAGTTGAAGATGTTGGAGTGGCTTTGTTGGTAAACTGGCAGTGGCAGGTAACTCACTGTTGCCAGATTCTGCCGTAGCAAGTTGTAATCATATAGAAAGTTGCCTTCTCTTGAGCTCTGAACCGTTGCTTTCTGTCTACTCTCTGCCAAATCTTCACAAACGAATAAGACGCAGCTTAAAGGGTCACTGAAGTTTTATAAAAATTAATAATATACACAACTGTATGGTGTGTACAAATGAGCAGCGCTATAATATTGATGCTCCAGCATAGCAGCACAAAGCAGCCTATATATCATATAAACTTTCCCGTCACCAAGCTTGTACGCGAAACCAAACCTAAACTCACACGAAATTGACTATAGCGAAGACCTCGCGAATCCTGATCGTAAGAAGCTGGAACCTGCGAAACCTCAAAGCTTCCAGGGCTCATTTCCTCGAACACGTGGTGAGCGGCACACGTCTCCCGCTTGCTTCCATCAGCCTAACCACTCATAGCATAAGCATGAGGAGGCGGGGACCCCTTGCCTCCGTCCGCCGGATTCTATGTCGACATGCGTCTCCGCCTCTGCCTCTGCCGCCGGGGTGGCGCAGAGAGCTAGGCGCGGCAGGGAAACCGCGATTGATCGATCAACGAGCGGAATATTGCTTAGATTTCGTGAGCATTCTCTTCATTTTAGGCCCATTACCAAGCCCAGCCCGTAAAACTACTCACTCACGTACGGGCTATTGGATCCAGCGGGTATGAGTGCGGTTACATACTACCCGTACCCGCTCACCCGTGGGTAATTTTTAACCGCGTCGACCTATGGGCCAAATTTTTTATATTTTGGTTCTTTTTTAAAAGTTTATTACAAATAGACCCCTGACGGAAAGAATTCAGAAAATAGACCCTTAGCTCGGCGTCAGCGTCTCTGGCGCCGAGCTGCTGGGCACGGTGAAAATGCCTGCCAGGGGGCTCGGCGCCGGTCACTCTGGCGCCGAGCCTCCTGCCATTTAAAAGTGCATGCAGTGCAGTGGCGAGTAGTACATGCTCACTTTTAAAAGTGCATGCAGTGGCGCAGACTGACACAGCGCATTCAATTGGATTTGAAGAGTAACATCAGAGTAGTACATTCAATGGGGACCGTGCAGCGCATGCAGAGGATGCACTTCAACGTATTCAGGTTTCATATAACTATACCACTCAGTTTCACCCACCCCAAGCAAGGACAGAAACGACAGGCCTAGTGCTATATTTGCACAATGTTAAAAGATGACACATACATTGTACAGTGAGATTAATAAAGTCACTCACTTGCTATTCACTGTCCGCAACTGCTGCCTTTCAGCATCCATTGACCGTAAGGCCTCACTAGCCTGCTGACGAGCACGTTCCAGTTCCTGCTGTGCTGCTAATTGCAGAGAAGCAGCCTGCTCAGCCTTCTGATTAACTTCATTAAACCGAGCTTCCAGGTCATCTTTTTCCTGTAAATGTGTAGGAAAAAACACTAAAGATCAACTTCTTGTTTCAATAATTCAGTATATTCACGAAACATGAGAAACAGGCAGCAAAGAGTCGATTACACCACAACAATCGTTGAATCAAATTGTACTAGTTTATTCTCAAACTAATGTGCACATAGGACAGCTGAAAAATTCCATATTTAGGGAGAGACTGAGGCAGTGAAGTAAAAGATCTACTATTTTCAAGCTAAAGTGAAGATAGGACAGATCAAAAATTGGTAACTTCTTACCTTTTGTATATCTTGTATACGTTGTTTTGCACGCTTGTGAAGCCTCGGAAACTTGGTATCCAGCTCAACATATTTGTCGTCGCGTTCTTTTAGTTCCTTTTCCATTTTTTGTTCAGCTACATGCATGGAACTAATGATGAATTAGACTCTGAAACCAAAAAAAGGGGGGCAGCAAGGACTAGGTTGTATTACAGATTATAATGACATATGTCATGACCTCATAAATCTATTCCAGCTTTCAATTTTAGTTCTTATTATCTACTAAATATTTTTCTCCATATTTTATGTTGAAACTCTAGTGAGTTGCCGTTGCTTTTATTCAAAAATCTCATTTCTATTTTGTTAAATAAGTATATTATAGGTCCTAAAATGCACTTTAGTTACTCAACAATATACAATATGTTCGGCTGAGGCTAAAACAATCGTTTACGACCAAGCGAATAGGACGATAGACAACCATTTGGGGCTCTAGATATTGAATTTCTTCTATCGAATAACTTTGTGTGTATTAGTAATTTCTCCTTTGGCACCTCTGCTGTTTGTGCCATGTTTGCTTTCCATTTTGCTTTTAGAAATCACGAATTCTGTTGTTTCCTTGACTTTCAATCACATCCAGTCTTATTTTTAGTAAGAGGAGGAATAAGACTGGAATCACTGAGATACGGGTTTAAGACTGACTTTTGATGAAGTCCAATTTAAAACAGGGAGAGTAGATCATATTAGCATATTTAATTTCTCAGTGATACAATTATCTTAGCCACCTACTTTTCCCTGTACTGAGATGTAATCTACCCGTACAAGAAACAAATATACGCAAATAAATAGGGGCTAGCTGATGTGACTCTTCAAGTAATTGAATGCGCTGCACCATCTGCTCCTCTGCATGCGCTGCACGGTCCCCATTGAATGTACTACTCTGATGTGACTCTTCAAGTCCAATTGAATGCGCTGTGTCAGTCTGCGCCACTGCATGCACTTTTAAAAGTGAGCATATACTACTCGTCACTGCACTGCATGCACTTTTAAATGGTAGGAGGCTCGACGCCAGAGCGACTGGCGCCAGAGTGACTGGCGTTGAGCCCCCCTGGCAGGCATTTTCACCGTGCCCAGCAGCTCGGCGCCAGCATCAATGGCGCCGAGCTAAGCGTCCATTTTCTGAATTCTTTCTGCCAATGGTCTATTTGTGAGAAACTTAAAAAAAAAAAGGGGCCAAAATATAAAAAATTCGGACCTATGGGGCTACTCAAATTCAGCCTGTGTTAAAAGCTATTGGCCCAAAAAAAACACCCTTCGGAGGCCCAAGCCCAACAATGTAAACCCTAGACATATTCACATTGCTCTTCCTTCCTTGAGTCCCCGTCCTCCCATTAGCCGCCGCCACTCCACCGGTCCGTAGTAGCAGCTGCGCTGCACGCCGTCGCCCAGGTTCTCTCACGTCCTCCCCTTCCCCTTGCTAGCCATCGCCCGCCCTGCACGCATGCACTTCCCTCATGCTGTCACTATGTCGTGCGATTTGCCTGCCGGTGCCATTGACTGCCGCTGAACACAGAACCTTAACGAGAGAAATTCGTGTGATTTTCTTGATTTCTATTGTTCGGTGTTTGATGTCACTAATTTTCTTTTTTGTTTTTGTTGCTGTGTGCAGATCTGAGATCGAACGAAGCTAGCTTCTCATCGAGATGGCGCTTGTAAGTGTTTGTTCTAACTAGTACTAGTTGTTTAAGTAGCCTCTTGCTCTTAGATTTTTGATATGCTAGGGGCGTTTAAGTAGCTTGTATTAGCGAGATTATTTTGTTGTAATTTCGACTTGTGGTGTGGCAAGTTATTTTCTGATAAATTGATTTCCATTCATGGGTTTCTGTGGATTCCTACAGCACAGCCTACACCGTGGATATATGTTCTCTCACATTAACATAAGATTTGGTCGCTAAATTATCGGTCCATGGATAGATATTGTTGATTACCCTTATCTTGTTGCCTTAGCTGCTTGTTGGTTACATCTCTTCCTTCTCACAGAAGGGTGTGGTCTATTTTGACTTGTTAGAGATTGAATTCATTTAGATCCTTACTGAAGTTAGGAAAATGGCAACACCTCCCATTTATTCCCATAATCAGATGGTATAATAAGAATGAAGCTGTGAGGTAGTAGACGCCCCCTGTTTCACAGGTCATTTTCAGAGTGGTTATCTTAAGTTGGGTTAATTGGATATATACCATTACAAATATCACGTTTTGGAAATATGCCATTACTATTCGTGATACTATAAAAGTGCCATTATAATTTTACACATCTCTGAAATATACCATTACTTACCTCTTCGATACCTATATTATAATTTTTAGACCAAATTGTCCTTGTCTCTTTGCAAAGTTTAGAGGTTTCCACCACGTGCGATGACGATGGCTCTCCTTCTCTCCGATTCAGAGTCTCTAACCGCTTCGCCGCCGCCATCACGGGAAGGACCCGACGCGGCCACCACGGATGACACTAGCTCGGCCCCGGCCATCATAGACACCGGTGACAGGCAAGGCAACCACGCCGAGCAAGTCTGTGCGCCATCGCCCGTGAGTCCCCGCGCTTAGCTCCTCTTTGCATTGAGAGCGCCTCGCATGTAGGGTCGCCGCCCCTGGCGTCGACTGCTCCACGTACGGGTACGGCCTTGCAGCGTGAGTCAGGATCCATGCGGAGCCAGAATGGAGTCCACATCTACGGGTACGGCCTTGCATGTACGCCAACTAGCTCCAGCAGCCTCTGGATCTCGATCACTGCGGCAGATGCGGCCATGCGGGCAGTGAGCGGTGACATGCATGGGGCTGGCTTTCCTATCGCACGCCGCCTTTTCGCAAGCCTGTATGTGCAGTTCACTTTGACCAGACGTCCAGACGTTCAGACGGGTGTGAACTCCTCCATGGCTCGAGCTCTCGGCACACGTACACAGTACACAAGCAACATGAAGCGAGCATCTCTCTCTAGTCATCGTAGAGCTCGGCAACGTCGAAGGACGCGGCATCGGCGCCAGATTTGTAGCTGCCGGACTTGACTTCCTGGACGCACACGCGCACGCCCCGGCCGGTTCAGGCACATGACTGGCAACGCGCGACTGCTGCACGGAGACCAAGATGAGACCGGGCTGATGCACTGTGCGAGTGTGCGACACGAACGAGCAAGTCCAGTATGTGTGTGAACGCCGGTGGCACGGAGGTCCATGCACTTCTTATTAGAGTAGCTAGCGCGGCGCTAGGTGAGCGACGGCGCACAGCACAAGACATGGCAACCGGCAACGGCTGTGTCACAGGCGAGGGCGCGAGGCAAGTCGGCAGCGTGGTTTAGCACGGCGGAGCAGACGTGCGGCTCCACGGCACACGTTGCGTGCCGCAGGGATGAGCTAGGGCGCACCGTCCAAAGCAGGCTGAGGGTGCCATGGATGTGTCATGCTCATGCTGGCGGACGAGTAAGTAGCGGGAGGTGCGGAGCTGGTGCGCAGGCGTGGCCGTAGTGGCGGGCCGGCGAGCGCGCACTCAAAGGCCGACAAGCAGGGAGGCACAGCGCGCGCTGCGCTCGGATATCCAGACACCCGGCCATGCTCAACTACCAGCTCTGTACAAAACGTGAGAGAGAGGGGAAGGGGAAGGTGGAAGAAGACAGGGGTAGTTTGGTCCAAAAATTGTGATAAATGCATCAAATGGGTAAGTAGTGGTATATTTCTGAGATGTGTAAAATTATAATGGCACTTTTTCAATATCGTAAATAGTAATGGTGTATCTCATAAATGTGATATTTGTAATGTCATGTATCAAATTAACCCCTATCTTTAAACATATGGTCGGTCCTTGTTACACTTTTAGGCATTCCATTCTTTTAACATTACCTAATCTCTGATGCTGATTTGCATAGTAGTTTTCTTTTAACATGTTTGGTGTTTAATAAGCTAATGAGCATCAAGTCATTCACAATATAATCCTTGCTCTGAGCTTATAGTTTTGTGTTAATAAGTTTGGTGTTTTCAATACAAAAAAGCTCATTCAACTTTTCCCTGAGCTGATAAGCACCAAGTGATTGACAATGTAATCCTTGCTGATGCTAAGCAGAATACACTTCAGTTCTGCTTCTTCTGAGCACAAAAGGCTATTCACCTTTACACCCCTTTTGAATTTATTTTTCCTAACTTTTGTACTAGAGATAGGCATCAATATAAGCATCATTGTTGTTTATATCATATTGTTTTTTTATTGATTACCTTATGTAGATGTGGTCTTCTCCTTATGATTCCACACTGTTATCAGTTTACACCAATCGTCTACTAACTTCAGTTGTGCTAGACTAAAGATTCTGTTTCCTTTTTTTTTCTGATTGTCTGCTTGATTCTACAACTTATATTCTGCCGTTTTTTCTGATATATTCCAGACTTTGATGTGTTTTGTCGCTATGTAGACATATGACCAACCTTCTGCACTATGTAGGTACTGCATGCTGGCAGTGGTAACAAAAATGCATTCAAAACACTAATTGCCGCGGAATACAGTGGTGTCAAGGTTGAGCTGGCAAAGGACTTTCAAATGGGTGTTTCCAACAAAACTACACAGTTCCTCAAGATGAACCCTATTGGGAAGGTATGAAAAATTCTGTATATGTTAAGACGGTGATAAAATAGTCCAGGATGTAAATCGGGCACTTCTTTGCAGGTTCCTATCCTGGAGACACCTGATGGTGCTGTTTTTGAGAGCAATGCAATTGCAAGATATGGTAATTCAAATGTAGCAACCATTGGTTTGTTTAGTCTTCTGTTTGCATTTATTTGATTGGGCACTGAATTCTGTCATCTCCCTGAAGTTACTCGCTTGAAGGCTGACAACCCACTTTATGGATCTTCACTGATTGATTATGTGAGTGATGTTCAATATTCCATTCAAAATCATTTAATATTTTCTTGCATGCAATTTTTTGCTTAGATGTTTCTGTCTGTTTGAACCTGTGCTTGTTTCAGGCCCATATTGAGCAATGGATGGACTTTGCTACGACAGAGGTCGATGCAAACACTGGAAAGTGGTTGTACCCACGTATGGGGTTTTATCCCTATGCTGCTGTGGTATGTATTGCCATGTGGCTTACACTTTTTTCCTCAATAGCTTGATTGTAGTCTTATATTCTCATTTGCCCAACAGACAGAAGAATCGGCCATTGCTGCCTTGAAGAGAGCATTCGGTTCCCTGAACACCCATCTTGCATCAAACACATTCCTTGTTGGGCATTCAGTGACTCTTGCGGATATCGTGCTGACATGCAATCTTTATTTGGGCTTTAGCCGTATCTTGACTAAGAGTTTTACCTCAGAATTCCCTCATGTTGAGAGGTACTTCTGGACCATGGTTAACCAACCAAACTTCAAAAAGATCATTGGAGACGTGAAGCAGGCAGAAGCTGTGCCACCTGTTCCAAAGAAGGCTGCTCCAGCCAAAGAGCAGAAGCCTAAGGAAGCCAAAAAGGAGGCCCCAAAAGAGGCCCCGAAGCCCAAGGTAGCTGAGAAACCAGCAGAGGAAGAGGAGGCACCAAAGCCTAAGCCAAAGAATCCCCTTGATTTGCTTCCTCCAAGCAAGATGATTCTTGATGATTGGAAGAGGCTGTACTCTAACACGAAAACCAACTTCCGTGAGGTTGCTATTAAAGGTATGTTTGCTTGTTATCAAATTCCTGTTGAATTTTTTTTAACAATGATTATGGTTACATAGTTTTAACAGGGATATGGTTTCTAGTTTTAACAATGATTATGGTTTATAGTTTTAACAATGATTATGGTTTATAGTTTTAGCAATGATTATGGTTTATAGTTTTAGCAATGATTGTGGTTACATAAGATATTACTAATTAGAAACATAAACTTTAGTAACTTTAAGCAAACATGTGCCTCAAGTTAAATAAGACAGCTGGTCAAGTTAAATAAGACAGCTGGGTTTGGCATATTCTTTTGGTGTTTTAAGCAGTTCCAAAATTTTGTTTTGATATGTTAGTACTGCAATGTACAAGTCAACTGAACTCAACTCCCATGTATTTTCAGGTTTCTGGGACATGTATGACCCAGAGGGCTACTCCCTGTGGTTCTGTGACTACAAGTACAATGATGAGAACACTGTGTCCTTTGTGACCATGAACAAGGTTGGTGGGTTCCTGCAGCGGATGGACCTGTGCCGCAAATATGCCTTTGGCAAGATGCTTGTGGTTGGCTCTGAGCCCCCTTTCAAGGTCAAGGGCCTCTGGCTCTTCCGTGGCTCAGAAATCCCCAAGTTTGTCATGGATGAAGTCTATGACATGGAGCTCTACGAGTGGACCAAGGTTGACCTCTGTGATGAGGCCCAGAAGGAGCGGGTCAATGCCATGATCGAGGACCAGGAGCCCTTTGAGGGCGAGGCCTTGCTGGATGCAAAATGCTTCAAGTGAGCCTCATCTCTTTGGAATGGTGCTGAGGAAAGAGTTTAGGTTTTTGGGTCCAATTCTAAAACAGCCATGAATGTTAGTTTTGATATGGGCGTACTGGTTATTTTCTGTGCTATATTTTGAAGAGTTTTTGGCCATGGTAAGGGAAACTGGGGAATGTTGCACTCGCGTGCAATCTCTGGATTATTGCATTGGAATCGTTTATGACATGTGCATACCCTTCTCATAAACGTCACATTTACATATATTTATTCATTTACCGTGAAACTAGTGAATCCAGTGTGCGCTTTTTTTCTTTTAGTACAGCACAGGCGCCTGGTTATTTATATCTTCCTCGGTGTCAAGTTCCGGGCTTACTTTTACTCTTTGGAGAAAAGAATGTAATCGTAAGGGATACCTGCGAAACGTGAGAACAAGGTAGTTGGCAGAGTTAACAGCAGTTTTTAACTGTTGTCATTATCATTAAACAGAGTAAGGGGGTGTTTGGGACTACTCCACAAACTCTGCTCCACAAACTCCACCGTGGAGCAGCTCCACAAAAAACTGGAGTTTGTGGAGTACCTCTTTAGGTGCTCTCACAACTCCACCCTTTTTCCTGGAGCAGAGTGCGTGGAGCTGAAACCGTTTGGCTAAAAAACGTGGAGCAGAGCTGGAAAACGTGGAGCGGAGCAGTCCCAAACACGCCCTAAAAGACAGTTTATCATTATCATTCAATAAACAGAGTAAAAGACAAAAGACGGTTAGGACTCCGTTACACAAAGATGCGTTTGGTTGGAGAGCTAGATGTGATGGAATATGGCTCCATCTACTTTGTGAATAAAAAGTTCCATGTCCAAAAATAATTTGGACAAACGTGTGTTCAATTTATAGGTCGTTTCGATTTTTTGATACACAATTTATTGTGTATAACAAAAACTAGGTATCTATAGAAGTCTGAACAACCTATAATTTGGGATAGAGGACGACACCAGTTTAAATTTAAATAAATACACTATCGAAACATATTTGATGTTGTATATGTTGAACAAAATTAAAAGAAATTTGACTTAGGACAGCCAAAATAAATAGATGCTACTTTCTCCGTTCTAAATTACAAGTGGTTATGACTTTTTTAGATATATACGTTTTATTATACACCTAGATAGCTTCTATAAAAAAAGCTGACTATCATTTGAAAGAGGGTTTAGTAAATGGAAATAATCACAGAGGATCCGTTACTGTATGGAGTTCTCACATGTGAGGCCTTATTTAGATATAGTCGGATTCGTATTGATCCACATGTATTGGAGTGGATTGTAGTGGAATTTATACTAAATTTCACCACAATAGATTAGTTGGATTCGTATCAATCACACATGTATTAGGATAGATTATAGTAGAATTTAAACTAAATTTTATCCCAATCTACTCACGTGGACTAAAATAAATCCGATAACATCCGTGGCATGATATCTAACTGCAGCGAGCTGCCAACTCCGATCATCAAAATGAGATGACGAGTCGAGGACCTCAGACTATCTGTAGCACTTTTTCCAGGCGAAATGGGATTGAATAGCAAAATCATCGAACGAAATAGTAGTTGAACTCAACCAGAACCCAAGTTCCAAACGCCTATCGAACAAGACTCTGAATTTTATGTTTGCCTTTCCAAAGCAAAATTTAGGCGAATAGATAGTGTACTTTTAGTCGGGTGTCCTCTTGAAGGGAACCAGAAGTACTAAAATGCACATTCGCAAAGACGCAAGGTAGGATCAGTATACATGATATACATTTGCACATGGCATCGGGCTGCAACTTTTTGCAGACACCATGAAATTTTGACTTCTCTTTTCATCTTTTGTAAGGCAAGGGAAAAAAAAACTTCAAGATCCTATATTTGTGGTGAATTCCGATTTTCAGAATCACCCGTTGAAATCCAGAACTGAACAATTATTTACCATGGCACAGAGCACTTCGTGTCGCACCACTTTTCTTCACTTGAGACTACACACTACACTCTCTCCAGCAGCGCCTTTGCACAGCTTCAGAGACTCACATTTTTCACAAGGTGATGTGTAGAACCTTCGCCCAAACACATCTATACCGCAGAGATTCTGAATATACCTCCACGAGCTTCAAAATGGAAATTTGAGCCCTGTGACAGAGCTTCAATACTTGAATATATATGTGTCCTGAGATTTGTCTCAGGAAACGTACGTCAGCAGCTTTCTGTAACAACTAAACGCTGTAATTGCTTTAGAGGGGACAGGAGCTGGGAGAACGCCGGCCTTTTGCTCGGATCGCTGTAAAAAAGAAGGAAAAAAATGGGGTTCAACGTCAGTGGGAAGACCAACGCAGGAACCGGGGGGGGGGTCTTACTTATCCCAACATGAAGATATTATGCTAGCCACCTGCGGATCCACATCCTTGGGAATGTCTAGTCGTCTGTTCTGGAATCCAACTGCTCCTACAACTTGCATTGGATTCAACCCACTCCATGGTACACGCATGGTTGCTAGTTCCCACAGGATTACTCCAAAACTGTAGACATCACACCTAAAGCCAGCAAAAAAACATCAATTTTCGCTGGAACAGCAGCAATCAAAAAGAGCAACATGTCCGTGCAACTCAACTACTCACTTCTCATTAGATGGTTCATTTCGTAGTACCTCAGGTGCCATCCACTCTGGCTGCAGGCCAACAGAAAATGCTTCGTAAAAATGTGATTATATGTTTATTTATAGAAAACATGCGATGCAGAACAAGAAAACAAACGGAAGGCAATATTCTTGTAGAACATAGGGCATCAATAACAAAATCTGGAACCAATGTCTATATATCTACTTGTTTTTCCATTAAACAAAAGCAGTGGTTTTAAGTTAAACATAGACACATGAAATAATTATGCTGAGGATTAAGTCCCATTGGACAAGCTGGAGATTTTAAAAATCTGGCTTGTAAATTGTGGATTGTTAAAAGCTGGAAAAGGTTAGGGGAAGATGGATTGTCACAATCTGGACTAGAGACTGTTAAAAGCTGCTTGGATGAGCTTGTGGATTAAAAGCTGCTTCCACAAGCTGAAGGTTCGGACCTGAAAGCAAATAGGGATTGCATGGAAATAGCAGATTGATTAATCAAGGTACAGGGGTACATGTATATGTAGTCGAGAGATCTTGGGTTTATAGAAACATAACCAAACAAGATCTCATCCCCTATTCCTATCCATAACCAACAGAGGAGAAGGCTGGCGGGCTGTAGGAGGGTAGGTGGCACACGGCCCAGGCCCAGGCCCAGTCAGCTATATACACGCATACATAAACACATATATGTCTAACAGGATCGGCAAGAGCTTTTAAAGCCACAATACACAAGTTCTAGCTGATCCAAAGAGGGTCCACATAATGCATGATGCAGCTTCCTAAGATATGGAACTATGGGAAATGTTTCACTTGTGCAGATTTGTGTCCCTATGCAACCAGAAATCAATTTAATTCCATGGTAGCTTCGCTATTTGCAAAAGAAGAAATTTTCTGTAGTCATGTATTGGACCTAGATCAAGTGCATGTGCATTTTTGGATTGCATGCTCAAATGATGTGTTTCGAATAGTTTGCCAGCACTATATTGCCGCTCCAAACCAATTCCAAAGTGAGTACTCTAATGCTCCACAGAATAATGGCATCTCCCTTCCCAGCCTATCCCAAAACAAGTACTCTAAAAAAAAAACTTGACCTGGGGGCTAAGACAGCCCCCAGGTATTGCATTAGGAAAGAAGACCTCACGCAGGTCGAGAAAACCCCGAAAACCCTGCCCCACCTATACACAGTGGCACCATATCCCATGTGAGAACGACCACGACCAGGGCCGGAACTTAGACCAGTGCTTTGGCGTGGGACAGACGAGAGGATTTTTTTAACCCGAGCTTGAAGATTCGCTCCCACGGGGAGTCGAACCCAAGACCTGAGGCCCTTTCGCCACCTAACCAACTCAGCTAGAGGCCCTTTAGCCAAAACAAGTACTCTAATGCTCTACAAAAGAATTCAGTATCCCTTCCTAGCCAATTCCAAAACAAGTACTCTAATGATCTACAAAACAATGATGCATTTTTACGTAGAACATGTGTCATGTTTCAGTTGGCAATTTTGCATTGAGCAAGAGGATAGTATAATAAAAATCCGCTCATCATGAATGCCAACTACAATTTTCTCACCTTTTGTCTTAATTAAGTTTGTCTAAATGAGTTGTGTTTGTGTTATTCTTTCCTGCCTCGCTTAACACCTCTTTCATTAGGTGAATCCGTAGGTTCAGTGTTCTAGCAGTTAGCTGTAGTATATTCTATGTTTATCCTCCCTCCAGTCACAAGTAAGTGAAGTTTTGGGCTTATCTTAAGTCAAATATTCCAAAGTTTGGTTAGAAATTACTTGGGTTTGGATATTTGAAAATGACACAAGCAGATTTCTCTCAAAACAGAGTTTTATTGAAGTACATTTTCACTAAGCTTTATAACTATTTTGCGACAAAAAAGTAATAGTCAAAGTTATTTTCCAAAGGTCGGAAGTACCACTTTTTTGTGATTAGGAGTAGCATCTCAAATAATAAAACAATCCATATGAACAAATAAAAACATTAACGGGTGAGGGGTATTACTGTTCCAGCAGTTGATTTAGAGGAAAGAAAAGTATGATGTTTCAACCTTGACATGCCAAAGTCAGACACCTGCCAAGAAAAGGTAGATATGAATATTATGTTGAGCTCCACAATGAAGTTCTGGTGATATATAAGAGTAAAGCGAATGCATAAGCATAATGAACATGTATTCCTCCAAAGTAACTACTTCAGAGAGTCTGGGGAAGGTACGGAACAAGTAACTTGTAACTAAATAATAATAATAAAAGGTAAATAAACAGCAATAATGAACAATGCATGTCTTGTTTTAAACTGATAAACAATCCCCCCTCTGTTCCAAATTATAGTTCACTAAGTCAAACTTCTCTAACTTTGACTAAGTTTTTAGGAAAATATATTACTTATAAATGCACTATAAACATATTACATGGAGAGTTTTATGAAACTAACTTGATGTTGTAGGTGTTGGTGAATTTTTTCTATAAACTGGTCAAAGCTAGAAGTTTGACTTAGGACAGCCAAAGTGAACTATAATTTGGAGCAGATGGAGTACTATATTACATATTGGAGACAATGCTAACAAGAAATACCACACAGCTAATGTACATGGAACCCAGTATTTGCTTTACTCCAATTAAATCATAATTCAGAGGTTCAGGGGTTTCGTGTATCATTGAGATTGGATAACAGTGCACCATGCAAACTGATCATTGACACTGACTATTAGGAAGAGTATTCAACAGTGCAAGGAATCAATCTATTAGTTACATACACAGAAGCAACAAGCTAAGTGCACTCTTTAAATCAAACATTCTATCACCACAGTATTTCTGATCTGCTATGACCAGTGTGGTGAACAGTAATGTCTCCAGATGAAACACCCTAGCAAGAAAATAGCTGCGAGATGGTATAGAGGGGAAAGTTACCTTAACAACCCAATTTTTATCCACTAAAAGATTGGGGGATTTCAGGTCACGGTGAACAATGGTAGGATGGCTAGAGTGCAGGTAGTTCATCCCTTTTGCCTGAAAGAATACAATATTAAACAGCTGCAAAGAACAAGCCACAATGTATGTATTTAACACAAAAACAACTTGCCCAAGTTTTTACCACATCTAGTGCCATTTTTAGCCTCTGTACTTCATCAATTCGACTATTTGGCCTATGCAACAGGCGATATAGACTCCCCCTAAAAAAAGATTGTTGTACTTCTGTGAGAACTCTTTGTATTCATAATATCATGCCAAGATAGGTTGAAATTATCATTTGCCGTTTTGACTAGAAACAGAGGAGCTTGTACAAACCTTGGGAGGTACTCAGTTAATATAGAGAGATTAGGAGGTTGTGTCACATATCCCAAGAAAAGAACGACATTGGGATGCCTTAACCTTGACATTATTCTCACCTAAAATTTAACAAATATAATCTTAGCTGAGGGAAAAAGAACCCAATAATCATTAAGCTCCAGTTGGAACAGAGATGCATGTTTTAAAAATTAACTTACTTCACATTTAAATTGCTCTAGTGAAACACCTGATAAATCCTGGTCAAGAAATTTCTTCACTGCAACCTCCTGGAATTTACAGGAAAATACATCAGAACAGAAACTCCAAAAGAATCAGAAGTCGAGGGAAGACTGCATATGTTCCTCCATAGAATTGGCCAGCTGAAATACGTATTCTTGAAGATAAGAAAAGACCTTTTGAATGTTTAATCTGAATGTTCCTACTTCCTAGTAATGTTAAAGCATATGGACTACGGGTCATGCTGACAGCTCAATTTGATACACATGCAACATGCTCATAATTATTGACTTGTGCATCACATGATTCCTACTTCAGTTTTCTCTATACGCTAATATGTACATAAAGGTAAACTGGTACAGGCAAAGTTAAACATTTTTTTGCCTTATTAGGAGCAAAACCTGATGCACAATGCTTGCCTGCTATCAATTAATGCTTATCCACATGTGATATAAAGATGGCTCTGTTTAAGAAGGTTATCAAACTTTACAGCTACAGGAATTGCTCGACGTGTAACGTCATTGCATAATGTATAATCGCATGTAATCATGTCATTCCATGCTTGGGTAGATTTGGTGGAGGGAAGAATGTTAATACAAAAAGTTAGTATGTGTGAGTTCTTCAGAACCATATCTTCAGCAGATATCACAGTTACAGAGAGAGAGAGAAAAGAAGGAAAAAAAAACTTGGCAATGGGGAGAACCATCCTTTGGCTTTGTCATAAGAGAGAAGTGTATGCCTAACCCTGTAGGGAGGTACTCACGCAAAACCTACAAGCGCCAGGGTTCGAGCCCCAGTGGGAGGTGAGCAGCCTCTGAACTGGAGGCTCTATCGACCGAGCCATCACTCGGTTCTTAATATTATGTCAGCAATTTTGTTTGCCTTGCTCAAAGGTTCAGTTTACACTTTACAGTCATCAACAATCCAAGGCAATAACTGGGGCGGTGAGCAGCCTCTGAACTGGAGGGTCTACCAACAGAGCCATCACTCGGTTCTTAATACTATGTCAGCAATTTTGTTTGCCTTGCTCAAAGGTTCGGTTTACACTTTACAGCCATCAACAATCCAGGCAATAACTAATCAGGAAAATGAAGGTGAAATGCTCAATGAGCTACCAGGTAAAGAGCAGCATGATTTCCCATCACTTACATGGATTTGTCAATCTCAAAAACGCTAAACGAGCTAAACTTATAATGTTTCCAATGCCTGTAGCCACAAGCCACGAACTTTGTGTACCCATCAGCTACAGAGCACACATTTTTATACTCATTAAACAAACTAGAACTAAAGCATAAAGACAACTACTATATAACAATTTATCTTATCAGCATAAGCAACTAAACTATCTCTAGTTCTCGTATGATCAATAATGTTTATAGTACACTATGTTCAATCCCTAGCAAAATGTCATGCAAGAACGCGCTATCAGAATATCTGACTTACCGTGCCATTCCAGTCCGCATGATAAACTTCCCCATAGGAACCTGCAACGATATAAATCCTAAGTTTATGACATGGGATTGCCATAGCCAAGAAACAAATAGTACACGGAAATGAAAACACCAATTAATTGCAAAAATACAACACAAAAATAAGTTTACTCTAACAATAACAGTAGTAAATGACAAAAGAAGAGGAACTTGAGAGGAATTAACATGGGGAGCCTCAGAGTGAAGTCTAACTAACTGTTTTTTTTAATCCACAATAATTCTTTTTCACTTTTGCTTTTCATGGCCTCTAACATAAATTTTGAAAATTGATTGTTGGCTGTAGCTTTATTGATAAAAGTTATTGAAAAATTAATTTAATGCAAAGAAAAGTGTCTTTATTGTGTCATTTAGGTATCTTTGTGTAGTCGTGAAAATTGCAGGATTTGAATTTCCATATTTTAGAATTGCACTAATCCAGGAGTGGAGATAATAACATCAGCATGGTAGTATTTTGTATGCCATAGTCGTCGTGTTTTCCATGGGGATTCTCCAACTCATCTAGAGTTCTGTCACTCGCTAGTGAGTAGCTCAAGTTGTGGGGTTTGGCCAGAGCTAGAGGTGTTTCACATCTCCTTGCTCTGATGCCAAACAGATGACTAACGTATTTTGGTCATGATCATGCTTTTATGTTTTCATAGGTGTGTCACTCGCTAGTGAGTATGCTGTTTTTTCCCTGGTGTGTGTGTGTGGGGGGGGGGTTGACTGTGTGTTGTTCAGGTTTCTCCGTACCCATTTGTTCTTCTTAATCTAATGATATGCAGCTCTCCTGCGTGTCCAAGAAAAAAAGTAGTTTGTGTGCCATTTAGTATTGAGAAGATTCAAAAGATGACCAATGGGATTATGGAAGTGAATTCAGAAAACAGCAGTGAAGCTTCAAGAGAATAAGTACAGTAAAGTTGCCATGACTTAGTTTCAGCAATATAAAATAATAAAAAATAACGGTAAAGTCATAAGAAATGGTTCCGACGATTTTTAGTAAGAGATGAAAAATGAACAGTCAATTATTGTGAATCATATTTTTAGTAAACATATTAAAATGTATTAATTTATAAATCTTGGCTTTGCCATTAAATAGAAAAAGTACTCTTGACACTGGTGGAAAGCAGTATTTTATCTTCAAGAAGGTCTCTATTAACTAGTACTTCACTACCTTACTGGTAAAGGGCTATGAATTAGGCACATACCTAAACCAATACGTTCTCCAATATCAAGATCCTCCCATGGTATTTCGTATTCAGCAACGTCATCTATAACAGAGCTGATAGTTTTCGCACTAGACCAGCTCAACTTGTCCAAATTTCCATTGCTACTTCCTGACATGTTCACCGAAGAACCTTCAGCAGCCCTTTGATCCTCGTTGGAAATAGCACTAGCAGTATGACCATGCAAGTCCAAATCTCTTATGACTTCTTCTGTATTTTCCACAGGGTGTTGTGCATCTTCATCAGGTGATGAAGAATCTTTAGCTACAAAAGCATTTGGCAAATTTTGTGTTGTTTGAGAAATCAATAACCATCCTGTACTTTCTTTCTCGTGAATGTTGTGACTATTTTGATCAGATAATAAATCAGAGGGTAGCAATGCGCCACTCTCCAAAAGTAAGTCATGCAAATTTTGTGCAAACTGTGGATCCACTACTTCAGGCACAATATACTTGGAAACATCATCGACTTTAACATGCTCAGAAATATCCGCTTCATTTTTTTTCTCAGAGACAACATTTTGTTTAAATTCTGTTTGAGATAAATCTCCCAGGTGTGAACTCGTGAGCGCTAAAATAGAACTGTGACCAGATGAGCATCCTCCAATGGTATTTTTGTTCTCATATCCACCATTAATCTGATCAAGAGCTAAGCACAATTCTGCGACACTCTCTTCAATGGCATCACTGCTCAGTTGGCTATTGTTGGAGTCCTGAAACTGACTCCCAGAAATGTCTGAAGGGATTAAGGTGCCTGGAGCTCCCATCAGATCAATAATATATTCCGTGCTGCAAGAATTACAGTACATAAGGTTAATAGCTGTGAACAATATCAAATTATTCAGTGCTGCAACAGTTTCTATTTTCTCTTTCTTTCCCTTTTTTGTTGGTCACTCATGTTAGGTTTCAACTCTAGTCTACCCCAACTTGCTTGGGACTAAAAGGCTTAGTGTTGTCATTGTTGTCAATCTTAAAATAAGATCAATTATTTGAAAGATGGTAAAGAAACATGCAGATACCTGTCAAAATCAACTTTGACCAAGTTAACAGCTCCTTCATCTGTACCGGTATAACATATTCCTTTCACAAGCTTACATGGAAGGTTAACTCGGTCAGCAAGTACCTGAAAACAATTTGGTTAATAGGTGTCTGTGGTATATAGTCCTACCCAAATCCCTACTTTTAAGCAATCAAATAAATTTTATGGAGAAACCCTTTGATTATGAATCTGGTGTCACAAATACACAATCCACTGGTGCAAATTGACAAAATAGGCTGGCTTCTTGAGTTGACTACAACATAGGACTTAAATAAATTATATAAACTGCAACACGTTAGTGCTACACCATTAACCATAAAAAATCATAACTAGAAGTGCTTCTAGAAACAAAGCTAAGAACACAAAACACGATGCGTTCAAACCTTCTACAAGTAACATCACTCCTGCACGACAATTATGACCACAGGCCATGGCCACAGAACGACACAAAGAACACATACGAGAACGTCTGGTTGTCCTCTAATACACTATTCTTCATCATTCTCAAACATCTACTGTATGCGCTCATGTTAAGTCCCAAATGTCAACGCCGACAATGCTGATAATTTAGCACAGCCACTGCAACCTTATCATTTCAGTCCACCATCACTGACCAAAGAGCAGTCAGGAGCCACCACACACTGACTGAATCAACTCACTGACTAGTGACTAAACTAGAATCAGGCAGCCACAAATGGAAACTTGGTTTGAAAAACTTTCTATCCCACTATTTAAATTCTTAAACCCAAAGTTTGAATGTCCAGTTATATGCAATCCCATTTGAAAAGATTACATTCAAATTGTAAGTTCTCAGCATGAGTAGGAAAATGTTTAAAAAAGATATACACAAAGGGTCAATCGTAAGTTCTGAGAAACCAATTCTAAGTTTCTTAAATCGTAGTTAAAGTTCTATTCTTTTGTCTTGAATCATCCGTGGGTAATCTAATATTCAAATAGAAAGATTGGAAAGAGTGAATGTATAGGAACGATAATAGCTGTGCACAAAGCACCAAACTATTGTGCAGTGTCATATGTTAACGATCCAGATATAATCATATGACAAGATGTAAACTATTAGCATCCTTCCCTATACTCTTTTGCTATCTAACATCATAAGACAACTATCAGATTAAACATAAAGATGATGCAGGATGCTAAGTCACTAACCTTAAATAGCAGTGATCTGTGCCGTGACAGCCCAACCCGAAGCGAACCAAGTGGAAGAACGACACTGTTTAACTGGAGAGAGAGCTCGCGGCTCTTGATGCTCCATTCCCTGTTCATACCATCAGCATCCTCAACCAGACCGCCCATCGCATTAACAATGAGACCCACAATCTTCTGTGCAAGCTCAGCTGAAGCAGCTCCACCGTGCTGTGCCCTCGTCTGCGCAGCAATCTGTGCAGCCCTATCTTCCAGTCGTTTTAGGGCAGGATCGTGCTCCCGATCCACCGAGATGGCCAGGAAGGCGACATCGCGCCCAAGCGGGACCGCCCTGAGGTAGTCGAGCGAGGGGAACTTGGCCTGGAAGCCGGGATGCAGCTGCGCGCCACAGACGTCGTAGAAGCCGTCGGGGAGCTGCTCGTCGTAGTTGACGACGCTGTGGTTCCAGTACCGCGCGGAGAGGGCCTCCGCGGGGCTCCGGTCGTGGGGCCCGCACCCGGAGGCGGCCCCGAGGCTGATGAGCTCGGCCGCGCGGATCTGGACGGAGTCCGCGTCGACGAGCCCCGCGTGGTCCGACGCGGAGATGGCGAGCGCGAGCCGCACCTGGTAGTCCTCCTCCAGCCGCGTCGTGGCCGCCTCCGCCCCGAGGCCCCTGGGCTCCTCCGCCGCGGGGGCGACCGACACAGCCGCGGCGGCGGGAGTAACCGCTGGCTGCGGCGGCTCGGGGGCCCCCGCCGCAACGACGACCGCCGCCGCCCCCGGCGGCAGCGGCGGCGGCGTCGGGTGCCCCGAGCGGCGGTGCCTCGGGCGGTGGTGGTCGGGCGCCGCGCCCGCGCCCCCGGCGGGGCCCCCGGCGAGGTGGAGTTTGCGTAGCAAGTGCTTCATGCGGGACATGGGCGGCGGCCAGGCGGCATGCGAGGCAGGCCCCGAACCCCCCACGCCTCCTCCTCCAGCGCCGATCCGATCCGAGGCAGCAGCTACCGAATCGCGGTAGGAATTGTCGGAGCCCGATTATTAATCAATCGCTTCGAGCGATCTACCTATCCATTCGTGACCTGTGGTTCTTTTGTAGAGTATTCTGTTGGGGCGTCGTCGTGGATGCTTCGCGCTCGGGGTCGACGCGGCTGGAGAAGCCTGGAAGAGGAAGGCAGACGCAGACGCAGGCGGCCAAGCGACAGGGAGCACCAATACCTTGCTCTCCGTGCGTTTATTATTTCTTTTATTACTGTTAGTTATTATCAATAACACCGTGTGCTGGCACCAGGCGCTACAAGTGGTAAAATTGAAATGGTTTGACGGGCGTGGAGAGGGGAGCCAGCGAGAAGAAACGGATGGAATGGATAGATGAGTCATGAGCTCGCTGACGCGAAGAAATGGATGGATGAGCATGCTGACGTGGCAATTTGTGTCGGGTCCGGCGGGTCGGATCAGGTCCGCTCCTCCCGTCCTCTTCAAGTGTCGTTTTTTCATCACATTTAAGTTTGATTAGATTTATATAAAATATTATTAGAAACGTATGTATCTTTTATTAAATAAATATATTATAGAAATATATACAATGATTAATTAATCTAATGATACCAATTACACACTATAAATATTAATAATTTCTTGTATATATTTGGTCAAAGTTAAGTATGACTGGATATGTGAGAACGACAATTAAAAAGAGATGGAGAGAGAGGTTTTCGAATTGATTGTGGGGATTCAGCTTTAAGATACTCTGGACTCTATTTGGCTCGAAAAGTTCATTTAACCCATCTTGTACGTTCACTATGCTCCGTGGCAACTATCCTACGCTATTCGCCGTAGCAGCCTTTGCTCAGTCTTGTGCCATTGATGCCCTTCAGATCTGTGTAACACACATTTGTCGTGACCGCTGGCATAAAAGACGCGTTGTTGAGCTAGTTCTTCACGAAGCAACAGTTATGGGCAAGGCAATGAATTTTGGTAGGGTGCCAGCAATCGATTCCCGCAAGATAACATAAATTGTAATTTCACTTCAATGCCTAGAAATCACAATGGTGGTCATATGTGTGTGTTCTTGTTCGGGTTAAGTACCAATTGCCTTAAGGATAACCATAATTAGGATTGCAGCTAGTGTTTCCCATTTGACGAGGAAATGCATGTGTGTTGTTTGAATCCAGCGAAGCATCTATGGTATCCATGACTCAACATCAAACCTCAAAAAGTTCCTAGTTCGAGAATATAGCCAAGGAGACCGCTGGGAGGTCAATCGGTGTTCACATTAAAGGCCCTAGATTGCAATCATCATGTGTTATCGCGGCTCCTATCGATTGCATCAGTCACCTTTGTGCCATGTCATGTCGGAGTTTAGCTCTTCACTTTGCATATTTCTACATTGTCTTAGACCATGTTTGGGGACCCATAGCTTTTCTAGAAGCACCTCTTGGAGAGGGTTTCTAAAAAGTTCGAAAAGCTACTCCGAGGGAGTTTCTCTGCTTCTTTAGTAGAGAGTGTAACTTTTAGAGTTTCTGTTTGCTTGAGGTAACAACCCTGTTTAGAGGAGCTTTTGGCTTTTTGGACTTTTTGTGAAGCAAAAGTTGTCACAAAGCTCCCACAAATGCATGACTGTCATATGAGCTTATGGAGTGGGAGAATGCAAATGCACACAATCTTATCTTATATAATCTCGCAATCTATGAAGCATCGCTTGTTGGTCCTGTCTATGACAGGTTTTGACCTGATCAACTATAGTTACCCCTCCATTCTAAAATAAATTAACTCTATTTTTCATTTTAGGCCCTGTTTCAATCCATAGGACTAAGAGCATCTCCAGAAGTTCGGTATAATCTACTTGCTAAACTAATAATCTAGCAAGTTAATAAAAGAAGTAGTAACCTCAAATTTTATCCTTCTCCAACAGTTCCATATAATAGCTTTCTAAAAAATAAAGTAAAGCTCATATTTATTTTTTTCGCTTTAGAAGTAGCCGATCTGTTTTTTCCCCCTTCGTCGAGGGGCACTGCTGCCCCCTGTACATGCGTCGTGAAGTTATGTTGCGGTTGCTGTCAGAGGGCGTCTTGATTATGCGCGCACGCCATACGGCGATTGATTTTGTGAGAGAAAAAATACTTGTTAGATTAGCGAAAAAAAAGATCATTTATAAGTCAAACAAGTCCAAGCGAACATGGTGTTAGTATGTACTAGTGTATGAATATCTCCCTTGCCATTGGGCCCACCTCGCGCTTGATGAACACAACACTTTGTACCTGTTTATCCTAGCTGAATAGATCTATATAGTATGAGAAAAAAAAAAGGGTATGTTTGGTTGATTGCTATGTGGATATAAACGGATACAAAAATACCTCCTCATGCTAACTCGGGACATGCTTAAAATAAGCTTTTGTGGTCATCCTGACTAGTAGGTGATGCTATGCATCTCGTGCTGACTCACATGTCAGTGAAGAGTTTCTGTATTCGCCCATACAGTATGCACATGTCACCATAAATGAATAGAGAATCTCTTTATAGATTCACATGTCGGTGACCGGGGGGATCTACGCTCGTTGCAGTTTCTGGGCGACGAGCTAGCTGTCGGTGGAAACTGGATTCAGCCGGCAGCCGGCGAAGTGCAGCGCAGCAGCAGCCTCGTCCTCGTTCTCGCAGCCAAGGACGTTTTGACTTGTTTGGCCGAGATCGCGAAGGGGGAACCGGCCGTGGTTTTTTGAACGCGGCAACATTCACTGGCCGGCAGCCGTACGTACAGGCAGCCTGCGAAGCGACCCGTTGCCCGGGTGCGCAGGCAAAGCGGGCCGCCGGTACTGCACGGGCACGGCTCCGATTCGCGGGGCTCCCGTGCGCTGGACTACGGTCTGTGCCATGGGCCATGGCCCATGCTTCGGTTGGGTCGCTCTCGCTTGTGTTTGCCTTCCGCTCGCTTGAATTGAATTGAGGCCACCGTATGTACAGTACTCCATATAATGAGCAGCGAACCGAACTGTGGTCTTTGCTGGACGTTCGATCATCAAACCAAGAACACCGCGGACATCGAACCGAGGGAGGTGGGTGTATTGTGGCCTTGTGGGTCTCTGAACTTCAACATCGATTTTGACAAGACCGGCAGTTAGATTCGGCTCGATGGCAGCACCGGAGCTGCCCTAGTACCTCCTTTCCAAAGTGTAAATCGTTGTCATTGTTAGATTGATCTCTAATTTTAAATTGGGCCCAACGACCTAGTTAAGCCTTTGATCCGCGTCATGATCGGGGGCGTCCAGCCCACTATGGCTGGAGAGCCCCTGTCACACTGCGCTATATACAGAGGTGGGGGCCGGCGGCTCTGAGTACGTGGTTCGTCTGAGCCGAGCTCCCCACCGATAAACCCTAACCCAATCTAGTGAGGGGCGTAGCCAGTCACGGAAAGCACCCCCACCGGTCTTCACCGCCAGAATTTATTAAAGATTAAGTAATATCCATCTCCTCTCCACTAAAAAAGGTTGACATTTTGCTCTGACACACAACTTTCTTTTGCCTCTTCCGTCCCATGCCTTTGTATGTGACGAGTGTATAAAATTCCATGTATCCTTAATAAATCCATGTCTTCACTCTTCCATGGTGCAGGGAGTCCATGGGAGACAGGTATGAGCCAAACCTTATGGAGCTGACTCATGGCTCCAAGACCTTTTTAGTAAACATACCATGACCTCTGTATTTATCTATCTCTAACATTCATCCCAGCTCTAAACCCTTCCACTTTGCATGACAGCTAGATAGCCATGTACCCTTGGCAACATCGGAATGCTAAGAGCATCTACAAAGAGTTTCCAAAACCCACTTTGGTCTTGATTTTTTGGCAAGATCAAAGAAAAACTCCTTCCAACAACTTCTAATTTTTCCATGCTTCGAAAAGATAGGCGCGTGTATCCAATCGGCGGATCTAGAGGTATAAGGATGTGATGAAAAATAAGAAGAAAGCATACGGTCCCCAATCCAAATGTATAAGAGAGAAATGAGTTATAAAACTTGTTGGGTGATTTAAAACTAGCCTAGGAACCTGATATAAAATTGTCTTCTAGCTTTTAGGAGCTATATATGGGAATGGTTGGAGAAAGCCAATAAATACTAGTATTAACTTTTTTAGGACTTAAAAAATTCATTGATTTACTAATTATTTTTTGGAGAAGCAATGGAGATGCTTTAAGGGTATGTTTGGTTCATGATCACAACTTGCCACGGCACATGTTAGTCATGCCATAATTTTTAGGCAGATTTTGGGTTTACTACCATAATTATGGCACGCCATACTTTTTTAGCACCATGTTCTAGTAGCTTTGATTTCACTCGATATACTTTGTATGATAATTACAGTTTACCTTAGAATCTTTTGCGAGAAATTTTACCTAAGGTTAGATGTAGCAAACTATGACACCAGTCAAACGTGCCCTAAGTTCGTCAAACCTCGGTCAGTTTCTTGGGTTTATATGCTTCTGTTGTGTCACCGCCGGTCCTCACCGCCGGGTGACGCCAGAGAAGAAGCTGGGGGAAGCCAGAGCCCAGAAGGAAGGAAGAGGGCGCGTAAGGCTAACCGAAGGGTATTTGGGGCCGAATGGGGTTTAGGCTTCGTATCAGGCCCATGTAACGGGCAGGCTGAACGGAGAGAGTGACTTGAGTTTGAACGGGCAGGCTGTGGCTGCGGCGGACTTGCCGGCGATCGAATCCTGTTCTATCCAAAATCCACTACTACATATCGTTGATCCGGTGACATGTTGGTCCACGTGGAAGAGATGCGGGAACCAAACACCGGCGGACTTGTGCTGCCCTGACTGGCCATCCGTCTCCTCGTGGACCTTCCGGTAGAGCTGAGAAGAGCAGCAATCACTTCTGCAAAGCCTGTCCTGCTGGGTACCGTTCGTCAAATCGACACCGAATCATAACTAATCTCCTTGCGGAGGCGTGGATGGCGTGGACGGCGGGGGATCCATCGGCAGCGGAGGCTCTCCGCCGCGGCCGCATCCTCTCCAGCCGCCTCTACCTCGACGGCGTCCCCAGCTCCAAGGTCCGTCACCCCAACCCCTCTCTCTCTCTTCTCGATTCGCCGCCGTGGGTCGTGACAACCGCATGCCGTTCGCGCAGGCACCCGTGGTCTACTCGCCGGCGTACGACATCGAGTTCAACGGGATCGAGAAGCAGTGAGTGAGCAATATGTCATACGTCACACGTTTACCCCCACCACCACATCGCGTCGCGGCGCTGTAATTTTCACCGCCCCCGTCTGACGCGCTCGTGCAGGCACCCGTTTGATTCGGCGAAATGGGGTCGCGTCCGCAACTTCCTTGTGGCCGCGGGGCTCCTCCAGGACGACCGGATCATCGAGCCGCTGGAAGCCTCCGAAGATGATCTGCTAGTGGTGAGCTGCTGTTCACTTGATGCGCAGCGGCTTGTACTGTGGGATGCAGTGTAAATTTACCATTTATGGTTTGTGGCCTATCCAATCAGGTGCACTCAGAGTCATACTTGAGCAGCCTTAAGAGCAGTGCGATGGTTGCCCGCATTGTAGAGGTACTGCTAAATTCAGGATTGCATATTTGACAGTGTCATCGTTTGCATGTTATAAGCCTGTAACCGCTCACAAAATTGCTACTGCATCATGGAAAGCATGATGGTTTCTCAAGCATTTGACCATCTGCAGATTTCTCTGTTACAAACCAAACTGCTTGGTCATTCATTTTGCTCAAGTGTATGGTAAAATGTACCCCTCCCCCCTTCTGTTCAATTATGTAAGGTGCATTTGGTTTCGTTGGGACAAGCCTTTTTTGATTGAAAAGTGCTGTTATTGGATCCTATTCAAAAGTACTTGCTACTTACTTCTGAATTCTGATTAAGATTTTGTACTAAAGATGACATCAGTATAGTCAGAGTTTTGTTCTAATGAAACAAAATACACCTTAAACTTATGAATGTAATCAGTATTTCCTGATTTATCCTAGGTTCCAGCAGTGGCACTACTACCTAACTTGCTTGTTCAGCAAAAACTCCTTTATCCATTTCGGAAGCAGGTAAATGCTCCCTTGGCTGATTTTTGATGTTCAAGAAGCATGATGAAGTGAGCTTTTACCTTTTATGTAGGTGGGTGGCTCCATTTTATCAGCCAAACTTGCACTAGAAAGAGGATGGGCTATCAACATTGGCGGAGGCTTCCACCATTGTTCGGCAGAGGAAGGGGGTGGATTTTGTGCATATGCTGATATTTCTCTGTGCATCCATTTTGCTTTCGTTCGTTTAAATATCTCAAGGTAGGAAAACTATTGAATTGCACTAGACATCTGCATCATATTTTCTGTATATTCCATATGCACAGATAAGTAAGCTGGCCTATTGTCCAGGGTGAATCCAACTCTAAATTAGCCCTGGTACACCAGGGAAGGAACATATATTATTTCATAGCAATATATGGCGAATACGAGCCGAGCTAGTGCTAAAAATCTTCTACCCGCTCAATGTAGTGTCACCCCTGCCTATTATTATGTTCTTTTTTTAATGCAAAACACGCAGTTCATAAGCAAAGCATTATAGTTCTTCGTTACTCTTCTAAAAGCACTCCAATAATAAGGAATAGAAACTATTGATATGAGAATACATGTTAGCTATTTTGGTTCCATGAGTCACTCATCTCGTTTGCAGAGTAATGATCATTGATCTAGATGCTCACCAAGGAAATGGCCATGAAAAAGACTTTGGGAGTGATGGTGAGAGGCTGTGTGCTCTATTGTTTTCTTGCACATATTTTGTAATTGCTACTGTTTCATGGCTTATTGACATTTATTCTTCACTTGCAGGGAGAGTTTACACCCTGGACATGTACAACTCTGGAATATATCCTTTTGTAAGTACTTAACCCTGAAATGGTTCCTACATCTGCCAACCAACACCTCCTTTTCCTTGGGGTTGTTCATTAACTGGTTACATAAAGTATAAAAGAAACATATGAGTACTTCTGTTTGATATTTAGCTAATTGCTGCCCCTCTTCCTTTCCATGGAATTCTTGTTTTTGTTCTTGCTGATACAGTATATATTTCATTCTGAGAAATATGTAATATTATCATGTACTTTATTGTGGCACATATGGCTTAACTGGTTCTGCATCCATCACTGCACTGGCATTTAATACTTATTCTACATAAGAAGAGGTCGACACAGGAGTACAGGACAGCTAGTTACAGCTGTCTAAATTGTAATACTTTTGTCTGTGTGACAACTATAACTTTGGTAGCTATTTCATTTCAAGCCACAGTCTTCTGCATTACATTACTACTGGTCTAAAGTTAGGTATTTAGTTGTTCATTTGCAATAAACAGAAAAAGACTTATATTAATTCACTGTAATATTACAGTGCATATGCTTACAACCAGAACTACCAAAATCGGCTATTGTAAGCTGTTGTTTGGACTTTGGACACCATAAACTTAGCCCTCATGTTTGGAAACGGTTTCACTAATGCAGACTTGCAGTGCCTTTGAGCCAGTAATCAAACTAAGATAATGTATCTCTACCACATGGTGCAAGAGGATTGGGAGAGTGGGAGGAACAGCTGTGTATCTGTTTGTGTTCTTTTCTTGGGTTTTGTGATGGGGTTCACCCACTTAAGGGGGTTGTTTGCATAACGATTTCAAAGTTCAAGGGTGCAGTATACCTGGTTTTGTAGCCTGGGAGGTTCAACACATTCACTGTTGAACTGCAGAGGGCAAAGAAAGCATTTTCTTCATAGATTTTCCTTTACATCATTTTTTTTGAACACTTCCTTTACATCATTTAATGGCAAACTTGTGCCCGATATGTTTCTTTTTTTGTATATAATATTATTTTGTTTCAGGATCATGTGGCTAAGAAGTACATTGATCAAAAGGTCGAGTTAGATGTAAGTTGCACTTTCTATCCTGTTATGTATTATATTTTTTTGGCATCTGTTTCATGTTGGAGTTCGTAATTAAACTACACCTGTTTGCATTTTTAGAGTGGGACAAAAACAGAAGATTATTTGGAGATCCTTGATAAAGCTCTCAAGGTAACTTGTGCATTGCCGCAGTATCTCTGTCATTTCACGTACAGTATCAGTGATGGGAAAATTTGAAGACTGCCATTATAATTTTACTAAATTGGAGATATGCCATCCTGTCCCACATGTCATTGACTCATGTGTGCCCCACATGTCAGTGAGATACCAATGGCAAATCTCCAACTTTGCAAAATTATAATTGCAAATCTTATGTTTCATTTCATCTACACTATCTCTGTCATTTCCCTTAAGCCAAAATATGAATGCGAGTGCACAGCGTTAACTAAAAAGTGTTGGGGACAATTAAGAATAAGCACATCAAACCAAGATGGACCTTTATTTCAGCACCGACAGTGGCTTTAAGAGCATTTAGGATGTCAGGAAATATGTAGTTTTGGCAAGTTTTTTTAGGGCAAAAGTTTTGGCAAGTGATCCTGTCATAGATCGAGTTTACTGCAAAATCTGCTGTTTCTTTGTAGTTTGAAGAATCAAGACAATTTTGTTTAATTAATGGAGCTTTCCCTGCCACGAGGATTCAATTCTGCTGGTAGGAAAACAAGGTAGAATTATAGATCTAGATCGTGTACAGCAGGAGAAGGAGATTTACCGAAGGAGCTCTTTTGGTGTTAGTCAGTTACTTTGCTAGATTTAAGCTATCGTCATGTTTTTTTTTTTAAAAAAACGAATATGATTATAGTAAAAAGGAGATAACCCAGACTGGGAAAATATAACAGAACAACAAAGACCTAAAAAAAGTCAAGCAACCACAACAACAACAACAAAAAACAAACAAGAAGCTAGCAACTAGACAATTATAGATTAATAGATGGTGTCCAATTGGATTGGGACCTCAACACGCACCGCACCACCACACTACATCTAAACTGTCTGACCACGGCCACCCCACAAGCACCACAACCCCACCTGCCGATTACCACGCAGCAAAAACATCACCCGGATGACAAAGCCGTCATATCGACACACCATTGCCCTTTGCTTGCGCCATCGTTGCTGACGTTGTCGCACATCAAACCAACCGTTGCCTTGTAGGGTTGGCCGCCTCAGGCCGCTTCAAGCCAACTAGTTGTCACATCATCGATTCCGCTTGCACCATGTATCGACAATGTCCAGTCCAGCACCGGACTAGCTCTGCCGAGTAGGGCTAGCTGCCACAGTCTACTGCAAGCCGTCAAGCCAAAGACATGAAAAACTGCCTCTGATCACCTCCAATCCAGCCATGTCCTTCGAGATCCGAAAGTGCGCATCATAGCTCTCGACAACTAGGGTGCCTTATCGAAGATAGCAGCAATGCCAAGCAGCGCTTCAAATGGCCATCCGAAGACCTCCTTGCACCGAAACGATCAACTACTATGCAGGACTGCCCGCTGCCTCACCGCACAAGCCACCTCGGCAAAGCACTACTGCTGTCCACCTCCTCCCGCGCCAGCCACTCATGCCAACTTCACGGACACCCATCGCGCACAGCTCTGCCATACCGTTGCCCAATCGAAATGCAGAAGCCAAGCCCTCAAAGCACTGCACTTGCATCCTCATCCTAGCTGCCTTTCGCCATCGCTGACATGGGCAGCTCAAAACCACGCCATGGCCTCCACCCTTCATCATGTTTCACGGCTAAGGATGTGATGGCATACTACTTCATCTGGCTCATCATCCTATAGTAGCAAGTAAGTGCAGTTGTGCTTTGTTGATTATTTATGGGTGGGTTCCTGTACCTTCTCTTTTGCTACCTCACTCAAGGATTGTTCATGAGTTCATCTACTTCTCAAGATAGTTTCAGATGCAAACTTTGTCATCTATAGTAGTTTTTGTCATGGGCAGACATCCTTGAAGTTGTGTCAGGAATGGATTATATAGGGTCCAGATTTGTTTGAGTGAAAGAACTTCTTGGCAATAAAAGAATCTTTATTTTCTCACTTTTAATTTTTGGCGGTTAATATCAATTTACTTCCTCTCCCTAAGCGCTGAGATCTAAAATATTATGGTTCAGAACAGCTTACTTTCGCCTTCTGTTCCTTCACGGAAAGAAATATAGTGGATAGAAGGGATGGCAAATTGACTTCAGGGTTCTACTCTACCTCCCTCATTTCTGGCAGACAATCTCGTGATGAAGAGAAGTGCAAACCTGTATCATTGATTGATTGGGATATTCACGTAAAACACCATGCTATTTTTTTAGTTGAGTGGCAATACTGTTATGAACTTATGATATGGAAGAGAGAATATACATCCAGGAGCCTTTTTCTTAGGCAATGAAAGTGTCAAGTGTGTAGTTTAGTTCACACCAGTAAGATCTTAAGCATGCGTATTTGTGATTTGCATTGATTTGTTTATTTGGTTTCATTGTCTATGGAAACAAAAACATGCAGAAAGAAACAGGAATATAAATTATACACTCTTGTGCTATTTTATTCCATATACTTTTTTTTTAGAAAACGCAGGAGAGCTGCGCTTCATTGCATTAGAGAGAGAGAAAGATCCCCATACAACTCCCTTCTCTCATACGGGGACCAAATATGAGAGATAGTTAAACAGAACAAAAACTAGCCTATGAAATAGAAAAGTACATGACCAAAACTTGACCTAGCTGTTTAAATTACACCAGTTAGGCCTAGGCCTTGCAGCTTCTTAGCGCCGGCCAGATACCAAAGGTTGTGTTCGTCTTTGAGGTCTCTCATAATGGAATCGACCGAGGGAGCCATCCCCTCAAACACATAGGGATTTCTATGCTTCCATATCATCCAAGCACCCAAAATTATTAGGGAATTTACCCCCTTCTTGTATTCTTTTTTCACTTTCTTCAAAACCTTGCGCCACCATTCGGCGAAGCTGCGCTCCCGCTGCCTTGGAATGCAATCACCCAGGTTCAGGGGTGCTAAAAGCTTGAACCAAACCTGTCTTGCCACCACACAAGATACTAGCAAGTGTTGTACTGTCTCATCCTCCTGATCACATAGGGGGCATTGCTTAGGATGAGGCAGCCCTCTCTTTTCAAGTCTATCTGCCGTCCAGCACCTATTACGAATTGCCAACCAAAGAAAAACCTTACACTTATTTGGAGCCCAAGTTTTCCAGAGTCTTCTCCAAGGCTCAAAGGTTACTGATCCCTGGAAATAAGCCTGATAAGCAGATTTAGAGGAGTAGCAGCCCCCAGGTTCCAATTTCCAAATGTGTCGATCTTCAAAATCATTTAACTGAAGGCCCTGGACACAGTCCCATAGTTGCAGAAACTCCCTGATTCCAATCCAAGACAGACTCCTACGTATTACAGAAACCCATTTATTATTGTCCAAAGCCTCAGCCACTGTTTGTCTTTTACGGACCCTTGGAGACACACTTGCAAAAACCTCAGGTGCAAGATTCTCCACTGAACAACCATGCAGCCACCTGTCTGTCCAAAAAAGCGTATTATTTCCATTTCCTAACTCAGTGCTGACAGCAATAGAAAACAAGGCTAGTGAGTTAGGATGCGAGGGGAGTTCAAGATCAATCCAAATTCCATATACTTATTAGGTACTACCAATTAAATAAAGTTGGTGCAACTTTTTTCACCCAACAAATTCCCTGTATGTTGCTACCAACTAAATAAATTTGTAGGCCTGTTCAAAATGGCTCCACCTGTTTGAAAAATAAATCATGAATGCAAATTTCCTATATACATCATTAGCAAGCTTAAATAGCACTGTTCTGTTACTCTGCTTTAAACTGGCAAGCCGCAAGCCCACTTAAACTGTCATTAATTGATCCTAGTTGTTTGCAGGTAGCTGAAAGTAGATTTCAGCCCCAGTTGATTCTGTACAATGCTGGAACTGATATTCTAGATGGCGATCCTTTAGGCAGCCTAAAGGTATGCTTTTCATGCAAACTTTGCATTTTCTCGCAGCATTCATGTAACATGTAAATGTACATATCTGCAGTGGCATATAGGTTGTAGTTCTTCCAAAGCTGCTTACAGATGCATGAATGGTTCTATTCTACTCATATAAAATTTCCATCATTTCCAGGTTAGCCCGGAGGGTGTGATTACTAGAGATGAAAAGGTTTTCAGGTTTGCAAAGGATCAGAGTATTCCTCTCCTGATGCTGACATCAGGTGAGGATTGTGCTCTTCATTCTTTAACTTCATCTGCCTTAACCCTTTAGTTATATTCACTGAGACCTACTGACGATGTGTCTGTCTTCTCCGAATCTCTATCTCCTCAGGAGGCTATATGAAGTCAAGTGCTCGGATCATAGCAGATTCAATTGTCAACCTCTCGAACAAAAACTTGATAGATATTGGTACACACTGTATAGAAATTGAATAATGGTGTCTCGAAGCAAAACTTGGTAGATATTGGTACACACTGTATAGAAATTGAATAATGGACGCAGCTTGTGCAAAAGAAATTTTATGCTAATTGTGTACTTGCACATGTATCAACATGAGAAAGGGAAATCATATGCATGTGAATGCTTTCACCCACCGACTCCCGAGGGAACAATTATCAACCGCTTATGTTCATATCATGCTGCTTATTTGTCAGCAACACTATTTATTCGGAAGATGGACCCAATGACATTTGTTCACTTAACATGTGAAATCTCATGCTGCTTGACATTATCATTCGAGGTGCTGTCAATCTTCTATGTTCATACATGCAGTCTGCTGCTTATGTCCAGTGAATCCCTCTTCCTTGAACTTATTTCTGGAGAAATGTCCCCATTAATTGTGGCTGAGAGTGAGAGCTGCCTCTGAGTCTGGTCTTTGTCGTGTAGCCTTGCCCTGACCTCTCTGGCACTTTGACCCGGGAAAGAAAGCTACACATTTGTTCCTATTGAACCGTTGCTGACTGGTTACTGTACATGATTTCCATTTTTTTCAGCTTGTTTTAACTGGGCATCGTTTGTGATGTGCAAAATATCCAACGTCTTCCGGGTGTATTCTGTAGAGCCCCGCTTCTTGACGTCAACCCTCAAACTCTCCTCTGGTATGGATTCTGACTTGGAAATGGAATTGATAACTGCATTCAGTATGCTGTTTTTCTGATACAAATTCAGATAAACTGATATGTCATTTTCATCTTGGCTTCTGAAGTTCTGCATCTCATGTTCATTCTCGGTTGGCATTATGTAAAACTTGGCACACGCTTAGTGAGTATCTGCATGTATATTTTCTATCCATGTCGAGGTTGATATGCTGCAAGGGCAAAGAAGTTTGTTGTTTTTCTTTGAGTTTTCACTGGTCCAAGAGCAAAGGTCAGTAGTCCAAGATAACGGCAGATATGCTGCTTAGCAGGGAGCAGATCGGTCACACTGGGTTGTCACAATCTGTCAGTTTTCACTTGTATTGAATGGGTTTTGCTAAGACAATTCTTTCTTTCTTTCTTCTCTTACCTTCTCCAACTGAATTAAAGCTGCAGGACTTCCGGGAACATTCCAAATTATTGAATAGGATCGCGATTTGGAAAGCTTCTGGAGTTCTTGGAATCGTCTTCATGATGATGTAATTATCACCTCATCTCCACTCCTGCTTGTTCACATGCCTTATGTTTTTCCATCAAATTCTATGCGTCCTCTAGTTTCCAGGAAAATTCAAGATGACACACGTGAAGTACGCTGATGACAAGCCAGATGCCACACTAGGTGTGCTCCCAATATCTAGGCAAAAGATTAATAATGTAGACCTCCTTTTGACGAGGATTTGACACTGGAAAACGACTGCCAAGCGTCCAGTTGTCTCACAACAGACGGCACTGTCACTGGCTGCTGCCATTTTTTTCTGCTTCTGTGGTGGGAGTGGAGTTTTAGTTTATGTTGGATTGCTGGCTGGTAGAGTGTAGACTGTAGAGGATGACGAATGAAACTGGCACGACCAAGTCGGTAGTGCTAACCTTGCCAAACTTCAGGAAAGAATAACATAGGGTCATTGTGGTATATACTACTTTGCCAGTTTACCTAAGCTTAGTGTCTAGCAAAATAAAGAAATATGCTGGGAAACCCCACTCGAGAGCATCTCGAGTGTATCTGAGTCAACCAATCAACCAACTGATCGTCCGATCCAACAACGTCTATTTTGCGAAGGTGAAAAGTATCAAGGCTTATTTTCCTGAGACCACGTCAACGGAAATTGCCTTTTTCGTCGCCTACTGATCAAAACATTAAATAATGTTATTCAGTTGGAGTATCTCTTAGTGACAACAGACTTTGTGAACTTTTGATCATTCGTACCTGCTTATTAGTCATAGGATGTGAGGGTGTGGAGAGAAAAATAAAGCACAAATAGTCATAGGATGTGAGGATGTGGAGAGAAAAATAAAGCACAAAAAGGGTTTGACGAAATTTGACCTCACTCTGTCTTCATGCTAACGCGATGAGGATCTTCTCTTTCATGACTGTTCCTTAACATGTCAGGGGCCCTGTTTATTTGGAAGATTGATCCAATGACACTTCTTCATTGTACATGTGAAAGCTCATGCTATTTGGCATTATCAACCGTGAGTTGGTCTCATTCTCAATCTTCTTCTAATGTGGTGTCTACTGTTAATGTACTGTGAATCCGTTTACCTTAGTTGTGGAGATCGAGAAGCTCCCATGATTTGTGGCCGAGAGCTATTACCTAGCTCGGGGTCTTTAATTTGTCGTGTAGCTTTGTCCTCACCTCTCTGCTTTTACCCCGTCCAGGTTCCGGAGAGAAAACGACTGCCAAGCGTCCAGTTGTCTCACAACAGACGCGTCTGTCCCTGTTATTAAGCAGGTAACTGTACATGGGTCTCAGTTATTTTCGGCATGTGGCAATAAACTATGCATTATTCGTGACGTGCAAGCGTCTGGCGGCTGATCCCATGGAGTCTGACTTGGTAACCTGAAGAAGATGCCAACTCTCCTGCTCTGATTCTGTACGACTCAGTCTACGTGCAAGGTATTTCTCACACAAGGCCGCGCCAAGTTGTATTTCATTTTCTGGACATATGAAGTTTCTTACGAAACCTCGTACATTTCGAGTTCCGGGTCTCATTTTCTAGGTGTTGTGGAACCTCGTTCACCATGGGTTGTTAGTCTGTCAATTTCATTTTTTGATGAAACTGCCAATTTCATTTGCCCTAGGACAATTCTTTCCTTCCTTTTCTTTTTAGAGTTCAATGGGGACCCCTGGTCCAGCTGCATTCTTTCTTTCCTTCTCTTGCTGCCTTTTCCAATGAAAGACGACTCTTTCCAGGTAAGTTGCTCGTACGATTGGATCTGGGAAGCTTCTCTTGCAAGTGCATGGCCATGCATTATTCACAATAATGCATTGACAAATCTGTTTGGTAATTTGCTTCAGCAGAACATTCTCCACACTCATGGTCATGGACCTGTGTGGCCTTCTCTGTAGCATTCATTGCTTATTCCTTTGTCCCCCAAGTTTTACATTTTTTCGGCGAAATTCTATGTGCTCCAGGTTCGTGGAAAATTCAGGATGGACACTTGAAGTACAGCGCTGAAATTGAAGCAATGGACAACCCAGATCTGCCGCACTAGGCGAACTGTCCTCCACCAAATCATGGCCGATTTCTCAAATCATGTCACACCTGCAGAGTTTAGGAAGCTCGATCGAGTTCCAAACTCACTCCTTCCTTTCTTGTCGGCCAATAAGCACTAGTACGATTTTGACTTAGGTTTGGAGTTGGACGGGATTCAGAGCCCTGTGCACAGAGGTGATCAGCGAACGATTCTGACATGTTGTGGCCAAGCAGAGCGACAGTGACAATGCGGCTTTTCAGGAATACGGAGTACATGTACTGTAGGAATATATGGAGAGGTACTTATACCTACTAGTCAGGTATATAAACAAGCGCACCATATATATACCATGTTCTGTATTAATTATGACCAACATCTAGGCCAAATAATAATAATCTAATGTACGCCAATGCAAAGAGTAATTATCAAGAATCGTAGAGGTGTGGTGAGACCTCCTGTTGACCGCCCGGGATTTGACACCGGAAACAGACCTCCGAGTGTATCTCACGTTTTGGCTAGCTGCTTTCTCAACAAATGACATTGTTAGGGATGCCATTTTTCGTGCATTGGCATCACACCCTGAGGGAGGAAACCATGAAAAAAGAAAGAGCGGCGGACTATAGTGCGTGGTGGATCCGAGGTGACTACATTGTTATTAGGTCGTCTTGGCTTGATTGATCTTGGCTACATTCCAATCCACTGCAATCTAAGTGGGTTGGAAGAGACTACGAGCTTGTTTGGGTGCATTTGTACCCACTTTCATTCACGCGTGTTAATTATAGTGATGAATTGGGATGAAAATTAGTTAAATTTTTCATCCCCAATACATATAGATTAAGATGAATGCATGTGCAGCTAAATAAGACCTACAGAAAATTAAGTTAATTAGGAGGAATTATCTTACCTTGATTTCCCACCTCAACAACCCATGGAGGTGAACTGAAGTATAACCAAACAAACCCTTAGGAGGTCAATAGGCAGGATGTTTGATAAGTCTTGATCTGCCTGTTGTGATGTGGACCAATTTTTTTAGAAAATACTTATTTAAACAATAGAACTTCATGAAAGCAAAATATCGGGTTTAGTGGTCATTGGTGTCTGTACAGTGGCTACATATGAAACGAGTATTCAAACTTTAGCGATAGTGTTTGGGCCAAACCATACACCAACCAAAATTAGTTTACTTGCATGCTACTTCCTTTCATTTGTTCCTCAGCGATCCCAGCGGTTGAATTGCTGAGTCAATAGCTTGGACTAAATTCTTTGTCTTCACTACGGGTGAAAACGGTATGGATATTTTCCGACTGTATTCGAGACTGAATCCATTTAGAGAGGTTCAGATCTTTCCGTATCCGAGTCCGAATATTAAACATCCGATATCGTATCCATATCCGAATACTCAAATCACATATCTATGATGTCAATATCCAGACACTATCCGTATTCAAATCCGAATCCGGACAGAAATATGAAAACAAATGTAATATCAGTGATAGCCGTCCGTATATTCAATCTGTTTTCATCCCTAGTCTTCAGGCCTATGGCTTGTTGTACGGTGAGTGCTAATTTACTCCAAACAATAATACTTCCCGGTACTACTCTAGAAACACAAAACATTGTCGGCACTATCACTACCGGTTGCTTTAGAATTATAATGTATCACTATTGGTTTATTATACAACCGGCAATGAGCCAATGATAAGTAAGTTTTCACTGCCGATTGGTGGCTACAACCGGCAGTCATATATCACTACCAGTTGGTATCAGTATCAGCTGTAGCCACCAACCAGCAACGAAAACCTATGGTTCGTAGATTTATATCACTTGGCTTGAACTTAAAAAGATAGCCTTTTCAAATGAAGTTGTATCAAGATAAACTTTATACCAAAGTTATAGATTTCAAAGAGATGTAGAACTTTGTAGTTGATTTTTTTTAATTTGAGAAGGTTTATATGTCCAAATATTTAATATAAGCTCTCATACTGGATTTGAGATGGTTGGCAATCTCGAATGGTGACAAAATCAACATCAAAGCTATAGTACTCGACGATATCTATAACTTTGTAGTTAAATAACTTTTTAATTTGGAGTGTCAAATACTATATAATACAAGATTCATAAATATGAAGTTAAAAGATCAACGTCAGGTATTGTGTAGCTGAGATGGTATAAAAACATTTGGAAGAATGTTAAGGTCGTAGGTTTAAATCCTAGATACTAGTTTTTTTTGGTATCACTACCAGTTCGTGACTAAAATTGCCGGTGTTCATATAGTGGATTAGTGGTAGTAAAGAACCTCGTCAACCTTTACAGACCGAAGGCTTAAAGTGGTAAACCTTTTCTGAACTAAGAGCTTATTAGGAAGGAAGCCACCTGAGTGGATAGTCTTAGTCAACTAATCAACCCAGTTAACATGCTCTCCCCCTCTTCCAGAAAATAGATCATTTTAGTTTTGTCCCGATTTTGATTCCAGCTTTGATCAATTTGAAAAAAAAAACACCAACATCAACAACATTATCAAAAAATTTTAATTAAATCTAATAGTGT